TACGTCAGCCCTTGATAAATACCACCTTGAAATAAATCAGTACCCAGAATTCTTCAAACTTAAATACCTTTCGAACGATATTTACAAATATTTACTTCATATGCTTATTTATGTGCAACATAAAGAATAAGTGAGCTTGAAAAATGGTAGATATCATGAACAGACAAGTTGTCAATTTAGAGGTTAAATTGTAAATGGAAAGAGAAAGATAATACACTTATTAGTCACTATAGGAGGTTCGGCGTAAGAAGCATTTTTTTCCCTAATGTATAAAACAGTCCAAACTGCCTTATCACTAAAGCTTCAACAAACCTAAGTATATGCTAGTATAAAGGTGTTTCAGATAAAGCATAAACCAAGACATTTTGCTCCGTAATCTGGTGAAATTTTCTTAGATTACCTTCTAGGATACGAAGGAATGTTGTTGGCTGAATCAGTTTTAAGACAAGTCTACAGAATAGGCATCCTTTTAGACACTAACCTTTTCAAAACAAAAGTGTTTATCAGACATCAACGTCTAGTTCTTGTTTGCATTCTTATCATTCGGTCTATTATGATTAGTGGAAATTTCTAACAATTTTTATTGAAAATTATTTTTGGATATGTTTATGCAAACATAGTGTAAATTATGACTATATAAATTATATACACTTCCTATTAGCAAAAGGAAACTAATCATAGTGTCAATGGTGAGCTTAAAATATGACAAAGAAAGTAAAATGTTTAACAAAGATTTTGTAAATAATTAAGAGATGAAACAATGTTCTTGTTTTGCATTGATAAACTCAATATATTTGAGTTCCTTATTTAGATTTTCTGGTTTACTAACCAGATTCTTAGCTCGATTATATAGATATTTTACCAAGCCTACCTAGATGGATAAAGGGTGGGACGATACAAGATCCTAGTGGTTATTCGAATGTGCTGGTTCCCTGTAAACACTAGCGCCTAAACTCCTATATTCTCTTTTTTGGTTAAGATGGGATACATGGTACTTACCACATCTTATAGAATTAATTTGATCATCCGAGTGATCTATTACCTTGCTGATGCTGTCATATTGCTAAACAGAACAACAATCTCAAGTGAGTGATTAGAGGCAATGAAGAAAACTGAAAATGAAACAGAACAGGGTGTAGACAACATTAAACTAACGATTTGTTCTGTGAACCGTTCACCAGAAACAGAATTTTTTTTATGCCGATAGGTGAAAACTCTTTATGATCCATGTCACAAACCTTCAACAACTGATCTTTGATGCATCAGCTGTACCAGACTTTAAACCCTCTCCAAGTTCGTCGTAAAAAAGCGTACAAGGTGTCATTAACATCGTAGATCTAAATTTCGTGATACTTTTTTAATCTTACACTGACTGTAGGCAAGAACACGAACAGAATTCTACTCAACTTTCAAAGGATTTATTGGATTATTTATGGACGAGGTTTTCAAACAAATCAAGGTGTCTGGAGATAATATTGAAGAAAAAACCATAGTTGGGATAATGAATAAAAGTCACTCAACAGTATGACAATGCAAACATCTGTTCCTTACTTACGATGGAATCGATTTCATTCAGATTTTGCATAAGAAACGTGACACTATCTAACTACTGAATAATAGGTTGCATTGGTGCATTAATTCGTCATATTACAGCTTATTAAGGAAAATATCATACTGAATGTCGCAATCAATTGATTAATGCTTAATTTCCCCAGCAAACATTCATTTATTTTGGAATCAATTAAAAGATAAGCGTTGGTACTAGATGTCAGAAGTCAATCGTTGAAAAGTCCTAGACGTAGGTTTCTTGCTTGCATGGCACATCTAAAACCATGAGGAGACTAGTGCTTTCTCAGCGATCCAAACGTGCATTACTCAGTCAGGAACTTCCTTAAACCATTCTTAACACAAGTGACACTCCGTAGAACTAAATTATGTGAACGATTTGGCCATCATTGGATAACCATTGTAGGTGTTCGATACTTAGCCTTCAGTGCAAACTGAAGTACATATGATGAGCGTTAGAGCTTTAGTTTAGCCTTGCATACCTGTTATTAAACTTGGGTTACTGATATCACTTTATTTGTGAATACATTAAACCTGTATGTAACGGGTTCATGCGCTGCAAGTAGCATTGCATCAATGATTTATTTGACATTCGCCAACTTATCCAAAAATTGAAAAACGTCTTCATTAAAGACTTCAAACTTATTGTTGACTGCAGCTTTCTATAAGTTTTAATATGTCTAGTGTATGAGTAGCAAAAGTCAACTGATTAACTAGTTCACTAGTTAATGACCGGTCCTAAGCCCGGATAAAGAGGGAAAGTTTGGCATAGTACTAGCAACCCTACCCCGGAAAATCAAATTAATCGCTAAAGAAACTTCAAACCACAAAGAAAATATTAAACGAGGAAACAAACTTATTCATCTCTCTAATCGTGGAGACGCAATGACGCCGATTGATGAAAGACTTCGAGAAGCCAATTGGCCGGTGTGTCTTCTCTCGATGAAAGCAAAAGTAATAAAAAGGACATGGAATGTCCACAGAAGCATTGAAAACAAACGCAGAGATAACAGCTGACATAGTCACACAAATATTGCGGAAGGCCTCGAAGGAAGGGGAGGTACCTGCACAGTGATTGGAACAAGGGCTACCTCGTCAAACTCCCAAGAAGAGTGACTTAAGTATTTGCAAGAACTGGCAAGGAATCAGGCTGCTGTCTACACCAAGCAAGCAACAAATTATCCCACATCATCCTGGAGAAACCAAAACAATGCTCTGTATTCAAAATTACAAACGGAACACTCTGGCTAGCTGGCTGCATTCACGAAGAACAAATCATATACCCATCAAATTGCAACACTACCCCACGCATCATCATAGAGCAGAGTATAGAATACCAGTCAACTGGATCTCTACCTCAACTTCATCGATTTCGAAAAGGCCTACGACAATGTCGAAGTGTCGAGAAATAATTTGGAAACTGCTTCAACACTAGGATTCTAGTGCAATAAACATTTATCAATCACATTCAACAGCTATATGGAGACGCCAGATGTCAACTGATTCACAATGGGAAGCTCAGTGATGCGTTTGAAGTGAAGAAAGGAGTAGAACAAGATTGTCGCCAGTTGTCACCGATGATCATCCTGATTGTGGCCGACTGGATCGTGCAACAAACTGCGTGGAGCGAGATGAGAATACGCTGGCAGGACCGATTAAAAGATCCCAGAAGATTTGGATTTCGCCAAAGATGATGATTTATGCATAATGTCTTGTCACACAAACTCGAAGATGTACAGGCAATAACCAACAAGTTGACAGAAGAGGTGAGGTGAGGCAGCGAAGATGAGAATTTGAGTGATGATGATGATGATGATGATGATGAAGATATTCAACCAACAACAACATCAGCAACAAGCATCAATCACCATCAACAGGAGAAACCTAAGTGAGTAGTCTCTCTCACCTACCTAGCCTAGACAAGACACCATCGTTTCAACTACAGGAGGCACAGACAAAGATGAGAACGTGAAAGCCAGGATCGAAAAAAAGCAAGACAAGCCTCCCTTCATTAACCTGAAATCAGTGTGGAGATCTACTCCACTCAGTATAAAGCGTGAACAACATCCGGATCTCCAACACCAATCCAGTCGAGTCAGTGCTTCTATCTTATGGTTGAGAGATTTGGCGTGTCACGAAAAGCATTTCCAACTAACTACAGACATTCATCTACAGCTGAGGCCTACACTCACTCACTCGATACTGAAGATCAGATCAGATCAGATCAGATGGCCATAAAAACAAGAATAATAGGAATAAACAAGGAGGAATTCTGGCCGACTGACTGGCTCGCTGGCTGGCTGACTGGTTGGTTGGATGGCTGACTGGCTGGTTGGTTGGTTGGCAAGGAACCAACCAACAACCTGTTACTCAACATATATGTGGAAGATGAGAGTGGAGATGGATTGGGCATACACTGAAAAGACCGATTGGCGATATGGCGCGTCAGGCCAGGCCGTCGAGTGTGATCCAAGTGGGAAACGACGAGTTGGGTGTTCCAGGTGAGGGTGATATGGAGGAGATTGTGTGAGGAAGAAGTGAACGTTTGTGGGTAGTGGTGGAGCTAGGTTGGAAAGACTGTAGAGAAGAGAGTGCAATGGAGGCTTGTTACTGAAGCCCTATATTCCAATAGGCACCCAAGGGACAAATAAACTAACCTAGTTGAGTGGAGGGAGAGATTGATAACACAGTTGGTATTTATCGCATCAACATCAAATACATTTAGTAATAGAAATGATTGTGCACCTGTCTCAGATATTTGGAAAATTCTACTACCCTTGTTATCACAGAAAAGGAGAGAAAATTAGGAATATATAAAGCTGTGAAGTTACCTCCTGATATGGATTTGGACAATAAATTGTGTCCGAAATGTTATACAGTAAATGATGCTATTCCTTCACTATGTGACATTTTTTAATAAATAGACTTAGATGGAATTACAATTTACCACAGTACCCAAGTTCTTCTCCTATCTTATTGGTGCACATTCTCAAGTTCTTGAAGAACTGAGCTCAAGTTTATCATCTGTCACAATAATTGCTTACTGATCAGTTAATCCAAACTATTTTTCTACTCTAATGAATTTTGAAAATATATTTGCGGTATATTTGAACATTGATCAGTTTAGCATGGATGCGTCATTCAGTATTTAAGGCTTGTGATAAAACATTGACAATGACTTTACCAACAACTAAAATCTTGAAGAAGTTACATTTTCCCAAGACGATTTTTTATTGGTTGAGATAGTATCAGAACTATAAAGGAAATTAGTAAGACAGTAGGAGGCAAGCTTGTGACCTGCGAGGTATTGACTCAAAGATCAATCAACAGAGTTTTGTTGTCAGAGGAATAATTCAAGAGTAATCTTATGAAGTCTAGTTTTGATTAATGAATTTTGCTAGTTATAAAATGGTATACTTATTGTTCTTTTTCAGATGGTTTGATGTTGGTGAGGACGATGGACAAATTGTTCGTGAATTGTTTGCACATAGTTCGCTATGCGGTAATATGAAACATTTATCTATTTATTATTTCTCCCTTGGGTTCCTAATGGAACATAGGGCTTATTTATTCATTAGTCTATTAGAAAGCGATTTATTCCTTAGTCGAACAAAATAGTTGGTTTTTTTCCACTGAAAATATTAATAGCCAGAGAGGAGTAGTAGTATTTTGAGCTAGCAAATGACAGTCTTGAAGACTTTATGGGGGTTTTGGGTGCATTGTTAGTTTCAGGATCAAACCTCAGGATGCAGCGAAGACAAGCAACCACGTTCTCCTTCCAAAGGATGTAACTACTTCAAATTTCAGGTTGATAGTTTTGGTCAACCATGATGCGATTGAATTTTAAGGGTTATATCTCAAATCAACATTACTTTATGATTCCATGAATAATTGCTTGTTAACTTGATAAAACTGTGTTAGTTTTTAGTGTAGTGTTGTTGTTTAAGTTGTCAGTAGCTGAGGAGAGTCATGGAGATAAAGGTAGTCTCATATAATTTTGCTTTGCTTCTTGTTCTCTATCTATTCAAGTTTATAAATCGTTAAAATTGCATGAACCTTATTTGTTGTATATTTGAGAATGGCAATATTGTTTACTTTGCTACATTATGTTCTAAGAGTCAGTGGCAAATAGACTTGTTCAATATTCAGTATTAATTCACATTTCTACTGATCCCGTTATCTAAGGTTAAAATTTATTTATTTATTTAACGATTCCTTCTCAGAAGAGAGGGCTTTTTATGCTAATTGGATACTGATGAACACCTGTTAGTAGATTCAAAACTTCCTTTATCATGAAAAGAAACTGGTATCGTTTCGTATGTTTATTCACTATTTTGATAGTAACCATAGTACCTGTAAAATGTAATTAGTCTTTCTTAGAATAACACGTTCTTTGTACTTCCTATTCGTTATTCACTATTTCATATCAAAAGGTTAACAAGTTTGTTTGTTAACAAGGTCATCAGATATTGTTGCTTTTCGATCAGAATAGCGTTGGCTCATCCTTCTGATATCAAGAAACCAATTGAAATGGAATTTTTCTCTGAAGATACTACCTTCTCTTATTGTCTGTCCAATAAGTAAACTTTGAGACATACACTTCAATATCCATTTTCTAAACCTTTTGATTAGTTAATGAGTGTCCATGTCTCTAGTGGTGAAGAAATGATAACCTGTGCCAGAATAACTTTATTCTTTCACGGATTTTAAAGCACAACACAACCAAACAAAATGAGTCACATAATCCAACAATTAGCCAAACAATATTTTACTAAATGAAAAAATATCAAATAAAGATTCAAGGTAGTATTCGTCAGGAACTGATATCAGTTGGGGAGCCATTATAAATCTGGAAGCATTGGACAGGTGTCTGTTTATAGTGTAGGATTCCTCAGCATTACACATTCCCAAGACTACCAGGGATCTAACCAAGGACTTTCAGGTCCGTCGATGAATGAACTGGCCATTTAGGCACTAGTGTAGAGTTTCATGGTCAATAGTTTCCCATCTCTGTCAATTTGTGATATAGCTGGACTATCAACCAAGAACTTCATTTGGCATTTGCTTTACTTCCAACCTGTTGATGCCATACTTTTTAAATGAATCTCCAAATCATGTCAGTTTGAGGTAAATACCAGCCTAAATAAACATCTCAGTCGACTTCTAACTACATTAATTCATAGTACGTAGTAGTAAAGTGCTTCCAGATGGGATCGTTTAGTCGGAAGTGAACTGGAGGCCAGCTGGAGAAGTCAGTGGATGATAGTGCTGTATTGTGAATTGGAAGAAGTGGCTGAACCTCCACCCAGTGGCCGAACGATTAATGCTTCAGCTGCGAGACGTGGGGGTTCAGGGTTAAATTCCTGGTGGACTGCTGTTCAGTGTTCCTATGTTCTCTGTGGTTTTGCCCAAAATCCTTAACTTTTTATCTGAGTCATACATATTATAAATATCAAGGTTGTAACAATGGTGTGTGGTTATTGAAAACCCTAGAGCGTATTGTTTGTAAAGAGTCATAATTGACCATGTACATTCAACAGTTGTCTGTACATTTTCTAATTCGATGTAATGTCGTGCTGGTTTTTCTAGTGTCTCAGTCAGTAAGCTGTACAGTCACATTATAATTTGTATACGTAAATCACCCTTGTCAGTTTATTCCATTTATGAAGTCAGTATGCTTAGAGTATACACAGTATCAGTATAACAAGTGTATTTAACTGCTTTGTATGCTACAGTCAATGTGTAAATGTAGTCTTGAGAAACTGTATATAAGTGAGTCATTTCCGTGTTCTCTATCGGCTGAATAGATCATTCTGGCTACTGAACCTATGCTGATAACTATCAGAAGTGCATGGTAGACCCCACTGTTTTTCTTCCGAGCATTATTATTATTAATTTCCCGTTGGTTCCTAGTCGAAAAGAGGGATTCAGTAACACGCCACCATTGCACTCTCTTCTCTACAGTCTTTCCAACCTGGCTCCACCACTACCCACAAGCGATCATTTCTTCCTCACACAATCTCCTCCATATCACCCTCACCTGGAACACCCAACTCGTCGTTTCCCACTTGGATCACACTCGACGGCCTGGCCTGACGCGCCATATCGCCAATCGGTCTTTTCAGTGTATGCCCAATCCATCTCCACTCTCATCTTCCACATATATGTTGAGTAACAGGTTGTTGGTTGGTTCCTTGCCAACCAACCAACCAGCCAGTCAGCCATCCAACCAACCAGTCAGCCAGCCAGCGAGCCAGTCAGTCGGCCAGAATTCCTCCTTGTTTATTCCTATTATTCTTGTTTTTATGGCCATCTGATCTGATCTGATCTGATCTTCAGTATCGAGTGAGTGAGTGTAGGCCTCAGCTGTAGATGAATGTCTGTAGTTAGTTGGAAATGCTTTTCGTGACACGCCAAATCTCTCAACCATAAGATAGAAGCACTGACTCGACTGGATTGGTGTTGGAGATCCGGATGTTGTTCACGCTTTATACTGAGTGGAGTAGATCTCCACACTGATTTCAGGTTAATGAAGGGAGGCTTGTCTTGCTTTTTTTCGATCCTGGCTTTCACGTTCTCATCTTTGTCTGTGCCTCCTGTAGTTGAAACGATGGTGTCTTGTCTAGGCTAGGTAGGTGAGAGAGACTACTCACTTAGGTTTCTCCTGTTGATGGTGATTGATGCTTGTTGCTGATGTTGTTGTTGGTTGAATATCATCATCATCATCATCATCATCATCATCATCATCATCATCATCATCATCATCATCATCATCATCATCATCATCATCATCATCATCATCATCATCATCATCATCATCATCATCATCATCATCATCATCATCATCATCATCATCATCATCATCATCATCATCATCATCATCATCATCATCATCATCATCATCATCATCATCATCATCATCATCATCATCATCATCATCATCATCATCATCATCATCATCATCATCATCATCATCATCATCATCATCATCATCATCATCATCATCATCATCATCATCATCATCATCATCATCATCATCATCATCATCATCATCATCATCATCATCATCATCATCATCATCATCATCATCATCATCATCATCATCATCATCATCATCATCATCATCATCATCATCATCATCATCATCATCATCATCATCATCATCATCATCATCATCATCATCATCATCATCATCATCATCATCATCATCATCATCATCATCATCATCATCATCATCATCATCATCATCATCATCATCATCATCATCATCATCACTCGAATTCTCATCTTCGCTGCCTCACCTCACCTCTTCTGTCAACTTGTTGGTTATTGCCTGTACATCTTCGAGTTTGTGTGACAAGACATTATGCATAAATCATCATCTTTGGCGAAATCCAAATCTTCTGGGATCTTTTAATCGGTCCTGCCAGCGTATTCTCATCTCGCTCCACGCAGTTTGTTGCACGATCCAGTCGGCCACAATCAGGATGATCATCGGTGACAACTGGCGACAATCTTGTTCTACTCCTTTCTTCACTTCAAACGCATCACTGAGCTTCCCATTGTGAATCAGTTGACATCTGGCGTCTCCATATAGCTGTTGAATGTGATTGATAAATGTTTATTGCACTAGAATCCTAGTGTTGAAGCAGTTTCCAAATTATTTCTCGACACTTCGACATTGTCGTAGGCCTTTTCGAAATCGATGAAGTTGAGGTAGAGATCCAGTTGACTGGTATTCTATACTCTGCTCTATGATGATGCGTGGGGTAGTGTTGCAATTTGATGGGTATATGATTTGTTCTTCGTGAATGCAGCCAGCTAGCCAGAGTGTTCCGTTTGTAATTTTGAATACAGAGCATTGTTTTGGTTTCTCCAGGATGATGTGGGATAATTTGTTGCTTGCTTGGTGTAGACAGCAGCCTGATTCCTTGCCAGTTCTTGCAAATACTTAAGTCACTCTTCTTGGGAGTTTGACGAGGTAGCCCTTGTTCCAATCACTGTGCAGGTACCTCCCCTTCCTTCGAGGCCTTCCGCAATATTTGTGTGACTATGTCAGCTGTTATCTCTGCGTTTGTTTTCAATGCTTCTGCTTACATTCCAAATTGTCCTTCTGCTTTTCCGAATTTAAGCAGCTTTGTGTCATGCCGGATATCTGATGTTGTTGGAGGACTTTTGTTCACTTGAAATTCTGACTTTGCTGGCGGATTTTTCGATCGAGTTGCAGGTGGTGTTGGTGGTCAATTCAAGAGTTTTTTTGAAGTGTTCAGTTCATCGTTTCTTTCTTTCTCTTCTTTGGTGTTAACTAGGTTTCCTTCACTATCTTTCATTGCTTTCGTCTGCGTTGATCTTTTCATTCCCGATTATTAACCTGGTTATTTGATATAAATTTTGTCAGGTCTCTCCTACCATCAGCCTGTTCTGCTTCACTTGCCAATGTCTCGTCGAAGTGTGTTTAGTCATTCCGTGCACTCTTATTCTTTTCTTTGTCCAGCATAGTGTTTTATAGGTGGTGTTCAGTTCCTCTTTTCGTTGTTCATCCTTGCACCACACTGTACTGGTTCATCATCTGCTTCTCCATCACCTTCTTCCTCTCCCTCCTCTGTCAGCTTCCATGTGTCCGTCGAGATCCATTTCTTGTCCTGTCTTGTTTCCTCTTCCTTCCTAATACGGTTGTGCAGGTTTCTTTCCACATAGGTTTCAAAGAGTTACAGTGTTTTTCCATGCCCGATCCTTCAGGGATGCTGCTTAATATCTCCCATTATGTCCTGATGACTGACGACGTGAAGATATCCTTTGTAGTTTTGTCCTTTCATTCAGTTTCTTTTCTGAGTTTTGAACTTGAACTGTTGTCTATCACGAAATTCTTTGAAGGGAATCAACTTGATTTTGAGAGTAGGTTCTTTGCACTAGATAGTGAGTGGTGTGAACCTACATCTGGTTTTCCTCTTGATCTTGTCTTGTGTCCAGTAGGCTTGCTGTGTCTCCACTTTCTTGAGATTGAGTTGAAGTTGATCTGATTTTTAATGTGTCTGGTGTCTGGTGAGATCAACTCCATGTCGCTTTGTGAATATCCTTGTGTTTGTACCTAGTGCCTCCAATCATTAAATCGCTGAATGTTTTTCTCAGCATACCTCATATGATTTACGTAATGACTGGTGGTTTTTACAAAAAGTCTATATTCTATACCTTTTTAACTTGAAAACAAGTTAGATTCCTTTTGCTACTGAAATATTCGTCTTTATTTTGTTCACAGCTATCTCCTACAATGTGACAGTACTAACTGGTGTATGTCGAAATGCAGGGACTACCTCAAATGTATTTATTCATTTGTATGGAACACAAGGTGATAGTAAAGATATGCCACTCAAGCATAAAGAAATGGAGATCACTAAATTTGAAGCTGGGAAGTCTGAAGAATTCATCTTAGCCTGTGGAAAACTTGGTGAAGTAAGCTTCCTCTTGAAGAGTATTTATTTACCGTACAGCTTATCTTACCCAAGATCATTGCGTTATTAATTATTTTTTTCTGGGCATTAGTTGATTTAAAGGCGAAGTATTCAGTATTAGTAGAAACAACATTCATAGTTAAGCCTTAAAACAAATCTGTTTTCACCATGTCTCTACGAGTATCACGGTACTGCGTTTCGATCATGGGTGAAATGTCTTATCAAGAAAGCCTTTATAACTGAACTGCTTTGTTTGCCAACAAAGAAATGTCATTGATAGTTTGGTTATTGGGTTCTTCAGGTTTCGCTTTTGGTCAGCCGATAGACCAGGTTCGTTAAATTACCTGCTAGCCTTAACTGTAAGGTTTTAGAAATTCTTCATCATTCTTAAAACCTTACTTCTTATTGCAGATGGTGATCTTTAATCTACAAAACTACAACACGGCGATCTTGTTAAAATTGAACTCTACTTTTTATGTTTGATAATTGTAGTTTTCCGTTGCTATACAGGGTTGCATTAATCGACCTCTGTTGGTAGATAGTATCCTACACAGAGGTTTCGATACTACTCGGATATTCATGGTGTTGAACTACGTTATATATTTCAATACTGCAATCCGTAAAGAAAAATAAATCTCATTAATGAAAGATTGATTGTTATAACGGTAATAATGTTGCTAGTTGATAAGAGAACACATTCCAGCCTGGTTTCATAAATTAAGAAAGGAAATGCATTAGAAGTTCTATTCTTGAACATTTGTTAGATTCCAATCATTCAACCGATTTTAAGGATATTTAAAGATTATCTATCGAATTTGTTCGAACGTTACATGTGTTCTCCATCTTCTACTTCTAAACAAAGCAGAGGCCTTGGGTATTTTATCAACGGAAGCCTGATCTTTGTTTGTAAAAGAAGTACGCACAGATACTGTCTCTTCTATGATCTTTTATTTTTGATCTTGGTTTGTTTTGTTTCGTTCTTAGTGTATGCTATTTCTGTCTTTGTAAGATTAATCTTTGTACTCTTGTATCATCAATTACAGTATTGTATTTAAATTCTTAGTAGTTTTCAGTGTTACTTCATTTTATCTTCTCACTAACTGTATGTTTTAATAAAACATTTTTATTTTATCTTAATTAAGTTGTCTCATTCGTGTTACCTGATCCTTCGATTGTTGATTAGCTCTTCTATTTTTTCACCTCTTTGTAATCTATCTGTACTCTATGAAGAACCAAAAAAAATCCTACCTAACCCGTCTTTGTAATCGTTCAACCCTTACGTCATCAACCAACGACATTATTATAATTGTAACTACCATTATTGTTATTTCATTCTCGCATTATTTAAGTCTAATCTTCCCGAAAGATTGTAGTCTTTAAGTATCATATCTATATACACGAATGTACAGCTTAAGAATAAGTTCGTTGGAGAAAGTCTTCTTCGCCGAATATCTTTTGTTTTTGATGTCATAATAGGAATTATGAATTTACTCAGTATTCAGTATCTTTCCAACTAGTAGATTTTATAATTTCAATCAGCCTCTGAAACAAAAATCTCTTCATCAGTAGATATACTTGGATACTTTTTAGATAAAGAAAGTCAAAGTTTGGCACGATGGTATTGGTCCTGATTCAGGTTGGTTTCTGGATGAAGTGATTGTGATCGACTTCTATTTTGGTCACAGATATGCATTTCGTGTAAATCGATGGTTAGCTAAAAATGAGGCAGATGGATTATTATCATTAGATTTACAGCCTACAAGTATCATCAATGTAGACAGAAGTAAGTGTTTGTAGTTTTTGTTTCTAAACAATTTTATTATAAGATGACGGGGTAAGTATCTCTACCTATGAACAGTTATAGGATGCTTTAGAAAATATGATGCTTATGTAAAGAATCTTGACAATTCTATGTGTATAATTACAAACCGGACACAACACTTTACTTTGCACTCCTTCTCTTGATTTCAGCAGATCAGTCTACTGACACATTCTAGAGATTTATCTCCCTGTTTATCTGTACCACACAGTTAAGTACATAGCAGAAGTAAACTGAAATTAAATCCTTTTTGATGGCGTTGTACTCTCTAATCTGAATGGTTACATCGTTAAGCTGTCGTTGTCATTCTAGATAACACCATCAGCACGAACTTCAGAAAGAAGTGAGGTGCTAGGTTTTCTTCCACATCTTGAAATATTGGAGAATATTTGTAGCTCAGGTGTATGGTTTTGGTTGTATTGTGTTTTCTGACCTGGGTTGTTTAATCGTGAAGCTTTCATCGTCCTACTAGACGACATCATCAGCACTAACTTCAGTATGAAGTGAGCTGTCAAAATCTCTCCGTGAGTGAGTTGGTAGTTTGCCTTGAAAAAGTGGTCGATGATTGGTTGTTTCTTATTTATTAGCATGTCCTGATGACCTGGTGTGCGACTGGTTGTTTGCCAAATTCTAGTCATTGTCTTCATATTTATTTCGATTGACTCATTTACTGACGTGAACTTTGACTTCTTTTTCGCTTCTTATTTACTAACCATCTGGGTCAATGTCAGAGTCAGATTGCTCAGATCATCTAAATTTGGATAACTGACTTGGATGGACCAGCATGTCTTAAAAAGGATGGTTAGTTTGCAAATGAATTGCCAACTTCTTAGTCCATGTCAACTTTTCTCACAGCAGACTAGTTTTTCAACTGCCCAAATAGGGTATCGACTAAAGATCACATCTTGTGTTCTTGGCTGAAGGATTTCCAACGGAAACACCACTGCTGGCTAGTTGAATACCACTCAGCTTTTGAGAAATAGTAAGGTAGACCGTGAAAGTTTTGGATCCTTTGCAAACTGATCACCCTTCTTCTGATAGACAGTTTAAAGTTGTTTTACCGCAGTAGTTCTGAGTTATGGAATCTGTTCATATGAAGTTAGTTGACCAGCATCAAAGTTCATTTCAGTATTTTTTTACATGTTTAAGTTTCAGTAATATCAGAGTAATGCCCGAGATACTCTAGTGATAACCGCCTTAAAATTGCGGAAATGTTTAATTGTGTTAAGAGTAGAAAAATGGCACATTAACTAGGAAGAATAAAAATCCTTACAACACTAACCATGAAGTATATCTGTTGAGTTATAAAACTGAGGAAATTATTCATTGTCAATGGTTTAATTCTTTCATGGATTCTGATCGAAAAGTCCTCCGTTTTGTAAATCTTGGAACGCTTGAAGGTTCCTGTATAAGATTTCTTCAGGTGAGTGATATAGCTTCGTCAATCAATACTGAGATAGCTTTGAGGAAGGATTCCTGTTGAACGTGATAGCATATGAATCTGTAGTCGAAACTGCGCAGATTGATGTGAACTTCTTAGCCTAAGCAATAGAAATAAGAAGTATTGTGGTTTCCTCTTCGAAGTTTTTTAGTCTATAGGTGTTCTAAAACACTCAGAGAAGGAAAATGGTGAAATTATGAAAATGTGTGCTATGTCAGATGAAAGACTATTCCTAATGTCTAGAAAATATGAAAATACAAAGTATCAGTTGGTGTTATTGCAAGCTGTTTTGGTTAGTTCACACTAGTCTCGGGAAATCAGTAAGCAGACAGTACTCACTTATAGCCTATTTTATGAAGTATTGGATCCCAAAAGTCTACAAGATGTCCAAACCGTGCATCTCTTTGTCAGCTATCATGATATTGATGGCAGATAATATTTTCAGATCACTGGTGATTAACGTAATAAAAAAGGGGGAAGAAAAGGCTGAAGGAGTGTTTAGCTACCGAAATCAGCTAAAATGTATGAACTACTCAAGCTTTGTTGTCGTCACAGGTACTGTTTGTCTTAAATGCTGTGGGTTTTTATGCTCCATATAAACCTATATTCAGAGGCTAGTGAAATAAAAAAAAACAACTTCATTTAAAGTGTCTAATCAACTCACTTAAAACAACAATTATTCTTTTTTCTAAAATAAATAATATAGTGATGCCTTATGAAGTTGTGGTATTCACGGGTGACAAGAGTGGAAGTGAAGGAAAATGTACAGCCTGTATTCAGATATACGGTACACCTATGCAGAGAAAAACTGAAATTATAAAACTGTCACAAAAACAGCATCATTTCAAATACGGTCAACCTGAAACATTTCGAGTAAGTAAATCATAAACTATTTTGTGCGATAAAAAAATTTGCGCATGAAAGTAACATCGCCACTTTATTTTAGTGGAACAGAGTTACTTACTGAATTATGTTTTGGGTACAATTTATCGTCTATAATCGCAACGTGATTATTCAACAACTTTAGGTTATGATTTATGTAGTGGTGGTTCTCTCTTCTTTCTTGTAATATGGGCTGTAGAGTTTTCTACATATCTAGAATAGGTTCTGATTTATTCCTGTTGCATGTGTTCGGTGTTGATTGGATAAACAAAGGTTCGATCTTCAACCTTTACGTCCACCACACGAAGTTAGTTTTAAAGAATGTCATTATGTCACATCCTAATGTGCGATTGTGTGTAATTGCATAGATAGCTACGATTGAACTTTTCTGTAGATTTCTTATCCTACCAGGGTCTACCAATTGTAATTTAGAAAAGATTTGCTTTCAGTTCGCCGAATTGACCTGGGTCAACTACTTTGACCTATGTATTTAAGCTTGCACCCCTTGCAGGGGGCTTAGGTAATTCAGCAAGATATTTTGACCTACAAAGCTTGTTTCTAAGTGACAAATAGGTCCATATACTGTCATAATAGCTTCCTAATAAAAGTCTCCTTATTGAGTTAGAAGTGACAAGTATTACACTCAGGAAATGCTTAGAAGAAGGGGGAGAAGATGTCACCTCGGATTCTCATGAAACCAAACAAAAACTTGAAATGTATTCCGTATAAGTGATATATACCTATCTCAATTAAAAGCTGTAATACTAATATAACAAATATACAAAGAAAATTTTTTAACTTACTAATATTCGCTTATTTCAATCAGATATTTGCACCTGATATTGGCCCGTTACAAAAGCTGTTAGTCGAACGTGATGCCATGAGTGGATCTGATGGATGGTTTTTGAACAAAATTCTTATTAGAAAGCCATCTGTTTACTTTGAAACAACAAAGGATCGATCTCCTACTAGAAGTCCTGTTAAGACTTCAACAGGACAAACAGCTAGAGGTTAGTATTCTTTTTCAACAAGATTTTAATTCATATTTCTATGTAATCAATTTTACTCCAGTGTTAAATGTTCAAGTCATGATAACAGTTCTTCTTTTTGTTGTTCCATGAATTTTAGTTTTATTAATCACAATTTCAGACATATAAGGTCTTTTTGTCGCATTTCGCTTCCATGCACTAATACTTCAGTGTATATTACTGAGCATATATGTAAATGTGGCTAGGAGTCGAATCTAGAGAGTGTGTTTCGGTGTGTTTTGAACTCGGTAGCCAAATATATTTCCCTTCAGTTGAATAATGGTTTTTCAAATCAACCATCGCTTTAAATAACAGATTATTGTACATTTACTATTGTGAAGTTAGTTTCCCGTTACTAATACTGCTGAGTTTATAGTGTCTGCTCTTATTCAATACTTTTTACAGATTATCTTAAAATTAGTTGGTATAAGTGACTAGGTAGATGCTATTCACTTCAATTCTATCTCGGAATGTCATTACTGTCCAGATTTTTCTATAATATTGAGCTTGGCTGCATAGTAAGTCTCTCTTTATAACTGAATTGAGCCTTCATCTTAAGATCATGCTATTTGATTTCCCTGTATACAGTAGCGAGATGTCAGTGTCTTTCAAGACACAATACTGATTAGTTCGCACCGTTGAGATAGACTTCAGAAGACTTACGTTTTCTATGAGTATCTCTGTTGAGAGTTCGATCTTTCTCCCGATGTATCTGTTGTGTGAATAAGTTAGAATCTTTTGAATAAGCATTTTACTAAACCTCGTTTGTACTCTATTGGATACAAACTATGAAATTTTAAGTACTTCTTAGTCCACGTAGATCTTTTTGTCGACTCATCTTCCCTTCCAGCTAATAATATGCCAAAAAAGGAAGTTGATTATTATTTTCTGCTTCACATAATGAACTAATGTGACTTTGTGTGGTGTTAAGTATGTCTAGAAAACTTTTCACACTCTCATGTTTGTTACATATAACTAAGATATCACCAAGGCATTTCCTGTACGTGGAGACTTTGTTTGTTAAATCCTCAGCCAAAAGTTCCACATGTGGCATATAGACATCAGCTAATAATGGTCCTAAAGGACTACCCATGGCGACACCATCAACTTGTCGAAAGTGTTCACCTTCAAGAGTGAAGTGCACCTTATCAGTGCTTAGTAGCGACAACTCTTTCAAATATTTTGGAAGGATCGGGAATGAAGGAATATTCAAGGAAATATACATTGTCTTATATTTGATATTAATGCCATTTATGTAGTTAATAACTTCAAAAGTATCTTCTAATGGGAACTTACATAATTGATTTATGCTAGCCATTCTGTCAGTTTATACACTGATGAGCAACGTGTCCAATACAATACAATCAAGGTTTACTAAAATACTTATTCAGAAGGATCTACCCTATTTATACAACAGATACATTGGAAGAAATCAAACTGTCAACAAAGACACTCATAGAAAAAGCATATCCTCTGAAGTTCATCACAACGGTGCGAACTAATCAGTATTGTGTCCTGGAAAAGGACGTTAACATCACGCTACTGTATAAGGGGAAATCAATTAGCAAGATTTTAAGATATTCGGATTTTGTTCAGAGATAAAAACAGGAAGAATTCATTAGTTATGGTTGATAATGTTTTGCAATACAATATAGAGATGATTTGTTGAACGCATATCTTATACGCATGAGAAAATTTAAGTTATTCACTTTTTTTATGAGATGTAATTGATAATTTCCTTCTAATTACTTGTGTAATAAAGGTAGAACTTCACCACAGAAAGATTCCAGTTTGAATTATGTTGGATCAGTTGACAAACGGATAGACAATTCGCCTTCTACAGTACCTATTCCTGAGGACATCAAAGATGCAGAAGGAGCAGAGAATTATTGGTTCAATTTTAATACATTGTTATCAAAGCAACAAATGAACTGTGAGGCATTTTCATCCACTGAAAGTGGAATACAATTACAAAAATTAATGGGTAGTTTACATAAATGGATTAAATGTAACATTTTTTTCAAATGGGTCAGGAATACTATGAGAACACTAATCTTTCATTAATTAGTAGGATATATTTGTATTGTTACCATGGTTGTAATAGAGAAAGTATCAATATTGTTTTTGAAATAACATAGATTATAATAGTAATTCTAAGATGGAACAAAAAATATGTCATAAAAAAACTGGAAATATATTTAGCGCAAAGAACAATGATGAAAGTAAAGTTTCATGGTGTTCAATTTCAATAACTCTATATAACACTCCGTTTTGAAATAAATTCTAAACAAAAATTATGCAAATGCCTACGTTTTGAAAACCATTGCTTCATATTAGTTTCCAAGCTGCAAGAAGGTGACTTGTATCAAGTTGAGCTTCTTACAGAAATATCTGGCAAGTCGCATAAAGCCGAGTTAGTTTAGGAAAACATAGTTGCAGTTTGAACAATGTAAGAACAAAGACATTTACACAATAAAGTGAGCTCATTTTATTCACAACCTTTCATCAGCTGCAAACAGCCTACATAATATAACAGTAAAGCTTGTGCACTACTGGACTGCGGAAAAGGACCTAGAAGACTTGGATTTCGCCAACGATGACTTGTGCCTGATGTCACATAAACTTGAAGATCTGCAGGCAAAAACTAACAAGTTGATAGAAGAGGCAGCGAAGACGGGACTTCAGGTGAATATAGAGAAGACAGAGGTGATGAAGATACCCAACCAACAACAACAAACTCCAATCACCATCAACGGGAGAGACTTAGAGGAAGTAACCTCCTTCACTTATCTAGGAAGCACTGTTTCAACTACAGGCGGGACGGACGAGGACGTCAAAGTCAGTCAGGATCGGAAAAGCAAGACAGGTGTTCATTAGCCTGAAACCAGTGTGGAGATCTTCTGCACTCAGCATGTGGAACAAGATACGGATTTTCAACACCAACGTCAAGTCAGTGCTTCTGTATGGTTCAGAGACTTGGCGCATCACGAAAGGCATTTCCAATAAACTACAGACATTCATCAACAACTGCCTACGCTGGCTCGCTACTGAAGATCAGATGGATTGCCAGAAAGAATAAGCAACAAGGAGCTATGGGAACGAACCAACCAAGAACCTATCACGCAACAAATATGCAGGAGGAAGTGGAGATGGATTGGGATAGGCATGCACTGAGAAGGCCGACTGAGGACATCACGCGTCGGGCCAGTTGCTCGAGTGGAATCCCGACGGGAAGCGACGAGTTGGACGTCCGTGGCGAGGGTGACATGGAGGAGGTCGTGCGAGGAGGAAATGAGAGCTTGTGGGCTGTCGTGGAACCAGGTTCAAAAGATCTCAGAGAACAGGATGAAATGGAGACGTGCTACTGAAGCCCTATGTTCCACTAGAACCCAAGGGACTAATAAATCAATAAAATAAATAAAGCTTGTGCACTATGGTAGAATATTATTCCATTTTTATTGATTTATCAGATTTATCTAACAGTGTAACAGTTAGTTTACTGGATTACGTTTCGGACATAATTTATTGTCCATAATCATATCAGGATAACTACAGAACTTTGAGATATCCTATATATAGTTTTTTATATAGTCCTAATTTTCTCGTCTTTTGTGAGCTGGGCAGTAAGATTTTCCATATATCCGGAACAGTTGGTGAGTCATTCGTGTTGCTGCATGTGTTAGGTGTTGATTCGATAAACAAAGATTCAGTTATCAATCTTTCCCTCCATCCTGTTGTGTAAGTTTTAAGAATTTTCACTCTGTCCCGTCCTGTTATGTGTAATTGCATGCATAGCTATGGCTCAGCCTTTTTCTAAATTCCTTACCTTACTAGGATTCATCAGTTTTGACCTAGCTAGGTTTTTGTGTTCCGATAGCCTAATTGATCCTGCTCGACTACTTTAACCGATGTATTTGACCTCGCAATCGTTGCAAGGGATTTGGTAAGTTATTCTGTTTAATTGGGTCAATAGGATCTTTTAACCTACAAAGGTTATTTCAAAGTGAGTTTGTAGGTTTAAATGCCACTCTAATCCCAGCCAGCCTTATTGAGAATTCTTCGTAATGCTTCTGAGTTGCCTTCTCTATAGGGTAATACTGTGGAGGTTTTGAATTATGGATCAACAGTATTGCCGCTACTATTATTAACATCATTATCAACACTGTTATACTATTATTGTTGCTGTCATTACCACCATCATGAACTTAGGATGTTTGAATAATGCAAGAGCAAAGATATTTTCAAAATAAAATGAGCTCATTTTATTTCATGGCTTTTCATCAGCTACAAACAGCCTACAGGTAATGATAACAACATAGTTTAAACACGTAAATATAGATGGAGATCTGAAATCTAGGATTTAAAATAAGGTAGTAAGTCACAGAAACACAGGATTAATATTTACAAATCTTAGTCAAAATCTATGCCTGTTTATATCTGATGAGATGGAAAATTATGTTTAAGACCCGATAGGTCACGTAATTACATGAAAAACTTGAAAGTCGCGAAGTGGTTCATATTCGGTATGTAATTAGTGAAGATATGATGCAATCAAAAGAAAATGGAAGACTATAAACATACATATACAAAGAAAATTATATACGTTTACCAAGGTAAAGAAAGGTTGATTACAGTCTTCTTCTGAGTAGATGGGTCAGGTTGAAAATGTTTGATAGTGAGAGCTTCTGCAAACCATAATAAGCATGCTATTCTTAGTTTGTTGATTATCATGAAGGATTGAGAAACATCTATTTGATGTCCTGTTTTCATCAAGTGCTGCCTGCCTGGCGATTGTTCTCTTAAAGACCTAGCTACCATTCAGACACAGATTTCTCGGAATATGCTCATAAAATTGAGTAGACGCCCTTCGTTCAGTCCGTCCTATGTACTTTCTTTCACAAACACAGGTGAATTAATTTACACAGTTGGTGGTGACGTGAGATGGGTATTTGCGTACTTTCGACTGTGTTATTGAGCATAAAGTATTGTAAACTGAGATCAGTCTGACAGCAGAGCAGCTCCTTCTCAGTGCAGCTTTTATTCTTCTGTCTATTCTTTCATATGTCTCATGATCTTTGAATAGAAGGCGAAGGAAAATAGGCTTCTTCTCTATAAGTGGATATTTTGGTCGCTCAATAAGTTCTTTCCATTCTTCATGATGAATTTCTTTGGATGTCCATTCTCTATAAGAACCTTCTTAATTGTCTCTAATTCCTCTTCTTGTTCATCTTTAGAGCACAGCCTTTTATTCTAGTGAATAGCATCCTGACTAACTCACGCTTATAGCTGACCGGACAAGAAGTGGCTTTCATCAGTCAGCGGTCTACTGAATAACGCTTTAATGTTCAAAACAAGTTGTTGTTGGTTCAAGCCTGGTGAGAACACTATCACTTACTTAGAGGCAGGTACACTCAGAAAACTAGTCCCAAATGGGACGAAACGCGCGTCTTTAACTTCACTGCTAGCTGCTACCCATCAACGCTATAAAAATTGGATATACTAGCAATGGTGTGGCATCCAAACAGCAGCTTGTATGCCAATAGTGACCGATTAACTCAGTCCAGTCAAGGACAGAGATTTAAAAGCTATGAAGTTAAAAAAAGATGGGTCAAACGTTTGGAACTGAAGTGTAATTTTATCTGAACTATGATAAAGACCTGATTGAATAGCACTACAGATATTAGTTACCAAGTATAGTTTTGCATAGATCTTTGCATATTTAAAATAAAGTAATTTGTGTTTCTTAATTTTGATTATTGCCCTTAAGAATCTGAAATTAAACTTCCACTCAAAGGGCTAGGATCATTTTACTCCAAACACTGAGATTTACAGAAGCATAAGCTATACTTCATTTGATATGCGATGCATCATATTTTTGAATTAAGGTTTTCAGGTATCATATACGTATCGTTTCCAACTTGATGGGAAGACCAGTAAGCGATGATACCATTCTATATGGCTCAATCTCAGTTAGGAAACCACTAAAAGCTAGAGAGAACTGCACAGCTTATTTACTTCCGTTTTTGACTTCAATGTCTTCATAATCTCGATAGAGTTCACGTTAAGGTTTGTCGATTGTTGCGCCAAGCAAGTTACAATACACTTGTTTTTCACTTTCTAAATCCTAAAATTGGTATCAAGAGATCTGAAACTCCTACACTATGGTAGTTGATGAATACTACTGAGTAGTCTCAAACTATCACTGAGCGTTTTGTAGTTTTCAATGGCACTCTGCCAGTTATCGACCTTAAGAATCAGTTTATAACCTGCTAATATTGTGATGATGCTGATTATAGTTACAGTAAAAACCAGTAACTCCTAAATTTCAAACGTTCAGATTTTTAGTTTACTTATCAGAAAGGAATCAATTTCAAGTCCTTTTGGGTCATACTTTGTCCAACTGTATTCATAACATTCATTTTCGGCCTGATTGAACTTTGGGCTACCAATGAAATTTTCCATCAAATGTATCATATCGAATTCCTCCCTCTCAATTTGCTTTAATCTCTTAAATGCGTTCTTCAAAAGTATTACTTACTCTTGAGGATTTTTAAACGATTCTGAACTGGTCATTTTTTGAAGTAATAACAAAATGAAGGAAAAGTATCATATCAAAACAGAAAAGGACTTTTGAATACACAACAGTATATCATAGTTTCACTCATCGGATAACTATCTGGAATAGTGTATTCTTCTACTAGGCTAATGAGCCCCCACCATTAAACATTAAACGCTAATTCGATGCAAACTGGTTGCTTCATCTTTGTGAACCATCTTATGAACCACATTCAGACACTATAATCATTTTATTTTGGGAGTACACTTCATACTGTATCAAACATACTGTTTGTAATCAAGCGATTATTATTATTATTAAATCTTGGCAAACATTATGAAGTTTATTTATTTATCATTTAACAGCTTAAAATATGCAGGGAAAGGTTTCTACTGCAAAGATCAAAGTTATATTTATAAAACTGACTTTTATTTATCTTACTACCAACAATAGAATCATCTTATGAAGTTATTGTGAAAACTGGTGATCGCAAATATGCAGGTACAGATTCTGGTGTCTATATAATGATGTTCGGGATAAATGGGGAATCAAGAGAATACCATTTATCAAGCTCAAAAACACATTTGAATAAATTTGAACAAAATCATGAAGATATATTTAATGTAAGTATTCTTGTAGTCCATGCTACTAAAGTCCTATGTTCCGCTAGGAAACAAAGGAACAAATAAAAAATTAAGTATAAAAATTCTTGTAGTCATTTTGAAGTATCCTAAATAATGATATTTCTTTATTAATTTTATCGAAAAAAGTCCTTTAGTGCACTTGCATTGATTACTGTGAGGTTTGATAATTAATACAGAGTATATGGGTTATTTATTTTTCAAAACATTGATTGAGAATTACTGACTGTGATGTTAACATAGTTATCCTTTGCTTAGTTGAATTATGAAGTACTAAACTGTTGAAATTATGTCTTATTCTACTCAAAATATCAATTTTTATAGATTTTCACTTCAAGTTGTTATTCATCGTAGACTGACATCAGTTGGAGGAACAAAGGAAACCTGGGACCACTGAACAACTGTCTCGCCCTAGTATGGGACTCCTCAGGAGTGCGCACCCACGCCCCCACTAGGGATCGAACCCGCGACCTTTAGGTCCTATGGCTAGCACGTTACCATTGAGCTACTGGATCACAATCCAATGGTCCATATTTCCAACTTCTGTTAGTACACGATATAGGTTTCCTTTTTTCTTCCAACAGATGTCAGTCTACGATAAATAAACAACTTGAAATATTTCCAAATCCCCACAACTCCCTTAAAATTCAAGATTTTCACTTTTTCATAAATTTCTGGAGGCAACTGAAATCAATTTCATAGTAAATTCACTAAGTCATAGAGAAAAGAAGAGATAATTCAGTGAAGGAAATTTTATTTTTCGACGATATCATTTTATAGAGCCGTACAATCGTATTTATATACATCATAAACATATAGCAGTAGTCTGTTATTAAACAGTAGGGTATTGTTGTTGTTGTTGTATTGTTAACCTAGTGCTAAAAAACTGGAATTACGAATAGAAAGTAGCTGCATAATAATCTTAGACAGTAGAAATATATAGGAAGGTGAAAATTGTTGGTAGATGAGAAATGCAGATATTCAGAGTCCACTTGTTAGATAGATGTAACATAGGTGAAGAATGAGACAAGAATCGTAATGAAGGTGATAATGATAATCTAAATAATTATATTGAAATCGAAAAATGTGAAAGTGTTAGGACCATGGTAAGTAAGAGATTGAACGTACTTCTTCTACACACAGAGATCACGTTTGAACTGATGAATTACCAATGCTTCAGCTATGCACAACTGTTGAAGGCGTGCTCCTTTGAATTATTCCATTTGACTCTATGAACGACCCTGATCGAGCCATACATCCAGAGTTGACCAAATGTTCAAGAATTGAACTGTTAATTGATTTATATTCTCTCCTAGACAACCATGCAAGATAGTACTCAGAGATACGTCTGGAAAGTGTGCACTTTGTGCGGTCTGTATAACTAGCTCCACAGAAGCAAGTAAATTTGTAGACACACATTGAGGTGACCTAAAGCTGCATCCTGTCCTTGACGCACTCCGGAACCAATTACTGACTAGAGAAGCTGATCTGTAGCTTCGTGCAGAAGAATATCTTCTTCAGCAATCTGGAAAGTCGATTCTTCAGAATCTTTACCGCCGTATCACCTTCGAAACTAACCTTCATAAACGAGGTTTTCTTTGGAACTGTGAGTACTTGCACCGTGTTCTGTTTCAATTTCAATTTTTTCTCACTAATTCTGGATGGGGGTCTTTTTTGTATGGGGATCTTCCGTAGTTTGTCTAATTCATCGTCTTACAGTATCACTCGTGCAAATTCTTCTGATTCTGTTTATGGTAAATATAAATACGGTTGTACAGCTCTTGGAAATGATATCGTCGAGTAAAGAATTTTTTCTCTGAATTATCTCCTCTGTTCTCTGTAAATTCACTAGACTTTCAGTTGGCTTTTTCAAGTATACATAGTTACTATACACAGTTAAAAGACAGGCAATATCGAGGCATCCACAAGGGAGCCCATATGCCAACAGAAACTGATCAATTCAGTCCAATTTACCACGGTGTAATACAAGCAATAACACTAAACCTATACCCGTCGCACAGGAGGTGGCTATCGTGTCTCGGTGGTGTAGTGGATAACGCTTTCGCATTTGAAGCGGTAGATCCCGAGTCCGAGTCGCCATGTAAACAACGTCACCAGCTGACGAGTCCCAAATAGGTGGAAAGGCGCATCCTGGATTCCACTGCTAGCCACTGCCCATCATTACCACATATTGTAAACAATCATCTAGATAAATAATTTCATTTAGGCTAAATTGCGAAGTTTAATCCGGAGATTTGTGGAGATTTATTAGTTGATTCCACTTTGGAATTCATGATGGATCGACATCGGTTGGAGGAACATTTGAAACCTGCAAACACTTGACGACTTTTTAGTCCTGGTATGGGACGCCTCAGATTTGCTCATCCATGACCTCGCCAAACCAAGGATTGAAACCATCCCCATATCATCAAGTTTCGCCTCCAGCACATTACCATTGAGCCACTGGGTCGAGATCCTCACGTGCTTTATATTTCCTACTTCTGTCAGTTCACGATTTAGAGCGACCTGCATCGAATATTGTTATTGAGCAAATGTCCTATTGTTCTACTTGATTGACGCCACTGGTCACGTCTTCTCATTGGAACTCCGGGAATCACCTTTCAAAGCTAGTCACCAGTGAGCGTTAGAATAATTCAGTATGGAGGTTTGCGGAGATTTAATAATTGACTTCAGGTTGGAATTCATCATGGTTGTCCCTGAAGTTCCAATAAGAAATCGCAACTATTGCAGCCAACCGAGTCGAACATGAGAACAGTTACTCAGCGGGAACATTAGATGGAAGTCGCTCCGTATCACGAACTGGCAGAAGTAGGAAATATAATGTGCATGAAGGTCTCAACCCAGTGATTAAGTGGTGACTTGTCGGCCTATTAGCCTAAAGGTTCGGTGATGGGTTCGATCCCCGGTGTGGCGGGGTCACTTGTGCGTACTGCTGAGGAGTCCCATACTAGGGCGAAATAGCTGTCCAGTGCTCCCAGATTTGCAGTGTTCCTCTAAATGATGTCAGTCTATGGTGGATTTTAACCTGCAATAAATTGGGAAGTACTGACTGTCAACAAGGAGACTGTTTATTACTTGTAACAGAACAATTTGATGCTAAGTATTGTGATCATAATGTTAGGGAATTTCCAGTGCTCAAATGTGATATTTACTGAGGTGCAAACTGTCTCACTTTGTTGGTAACTTGATTGAAAATATGTAAGAATTAGTGAGAAAAAGAATATTGAACGAGAAATTTTCAGGGTGACGTCCTATAAGCCAAGGTTTTCATTAGCAAACGTTTCAATGTTATACTAGACATTATAATTACTGCATCAAATCTTCATATGCATTATATCTATATGAATAAGTATTCTCATTATAAATTGAACTTACCCAAGGATATATTTTCATTCATTTTTTATATGAGAGTCCAGAGAAACCTTTTTAACATAACAGATGTATTTATTTATTTTACAGCTAACCGCTATGGGTTTGGGATCGTTAGTGAAAATCCGAGTTAGGCATACTAATACAGGTGTTAATTCCGCTTGGTTTCTGGACTACATTCTAATACATGAAAGCTTTCAACAAAAGAATATGGAATATCTGTTTCCCTGTTATCAGTGGCTTGGTATTTCCTCATCAGATGGATTGGTTACTCGTGAACTATGCGTTGCTTCTTCAAACATTCTTGAAAGATGGAAGTCTGGACATGATACAGTTGACGATTCCAGACTTATTTTAGAAGGTTTGTTATACTTTGCTAATTTCTTGAATGAAAGCATAACTATGTGTATTTATATATGTGTACATCTTCTCCACAGTGTTCTGATTGTATACAATCTGAACGCTTCTCATTCAATTTTGTCAGGCTCAACAACATCAGTAACCCTTTTTTACGGGCGTATAGAGTTGAAGAGAAAATTTCATAACATACTGTTGTTTATGAATTACTTTTTGCCAAACCCTAACACCTCTCTTTTTAATCTAGAATCCCAAAAGACAATAGTTCCTTTTGAATCCAAGTGAGGAAATTCCAAGAGCATTTCACTAGATTAATGAGTAGCAGGAACCTTATATTGGTAAAATACCTTATAGAAGAAACTATATGATCTCATACGCCAAACAGCAGAGATTTTTGGAGGTTTGCGAATAATTAGAAGATATTGTTTTATACTTGACTGACGATTAGATATTCAAATATGGAAATATATTCCCGCAAGTGCAGTAAGAAGGTAGCTCTATGAGAGGCGTATTCTCTGACCTAAAGTAGTCTACAATTAGTTGAACAAATTATCTACATGTCGAATTCGGTACTTTCAGCGGGGCTTCAATCATATTGTAGTTGATGATTTCTGTAATTTATATTTGTTCTACTGAAGATATTTATTCATTTTATAACTACGTTTTAATATAATCCCAGTGTAGTGACATTTTAACCTGCTTGTTAGAAATGTCACAAAGTAAAATGATATCATTAACTAGATAACGTTTCGGACACAATTTATTGTCCATATTCATATCAGGTAACTACACAACTTTGAGGTACAGTTTCCATAGTATAAATCTTCTCTTCTTCTTTGTGATGACAAGGGCAGTAGAATTTTCCACATATCCGGGACACATACGGAATCGTTGCCGATGCATGTATTTGGTATTGGTTCGATAAATGCACATTTGGTTATCGATCCCTATTTCCATCCTTCTAAGGCAGTTTTTAATAACATGAGTAAAACTTAGGCACTGTGATCCACTTTAATTCCATTTTAGTCTGTTTATTAGAAATATTATACACTGAAACAGTAGCATTTACTGGATAACATTTCGGACACAATTTATTGTCCATATTCATACCAGGTAACTAACTCCACAACTTCCAGACAGACTTTATATATTCCTAATTTTCTCTCCTTCTCTATGATAACAAGGGTAGTAAAATTTTCTATATATCTAGGAGAGGTGCACAATCATTTGTATTACTACATGTATTTGATGTTGATGCGATTAATACCAACTGTGTTATCAATCTCTCCCTTTTCAACACTATCGCTCTATCCCACCCTACTGTGTGATTGTGTGTCATCGCATGCAGAGCTATAGCCAAGCTTTTCTCTAGATTTCTTATCTTATAGGATCTACTAATCTTGATTTAGCTAAATTTTTGTGCTCTGTTATTCTGATCGACTCTGGTCGACTGCTTTGACCTATGAACTTGACCTCACAATCATTCCAAGGAATCTGGTAAACCAGATTATTTTGCTTAATTGCATCGATGGGATCTTTTAACCTACAAAGCTTGTTTCTGAGCGAGTTTGTTGGTTTGATTGCTACTTTAATCCGTGTCAGCCTGATTGCTAATTCTTCGTAATGCTTGTGAGGTGCCTTTCTTGTATGGTAACACAGCAAGGGCTTTGACTTCTCTTTTAACCCTGTCACGATTATTACCATTAGTAGTGGAATTATTGTTAATGACACCTGTATTACTACTACCACTGCTAATGTTTTTCTTTCCGTTTCTTATGAATTAATTTATAAATTTTGGTGGGTAATTATTGAGACGTAGGGTATTCTTGATGTGTCTAATTTCTTGTCGCAGATTTTCTGATCTACTAGTAAGCTTTTTCGCTCTATCACTTAAGCATTTATGTAGGCCTACTTTAACTGAAATGGGGTGGGATGATTCGAAGTCTAAGTGACGATTTGAATAGGTAGGTTTCCAATAGACACTAGTCTCTAGACTTCTTTCTTGTGTTCGTTCAATAATGCAATCCAACATTGCTAGCTCACCTTCTTCACTTTCTAAGTCGCAGGTAAATTAGATTGCATTCACTACTGAATTTATACGTGCTAACAACCTATTGATGTGTTCCAATTTCAGTTCTGTAAACTTATCACCTACATATCGGGACCATATCTTTGGATTAGGACTAAATGTTTGAAGGGCCACCTGTTCCCAGCTATCCATAAATATGTCTGCAACGATAGGGGATATTGGTGATCCCATGGTAACACCTTCAGTTTGTTTATATATTTTATTTTGAAACTTAAAAACTATAGACGTTAGGCATAATCGTTCTCCTAGTATGATTTCCTCAATCAGCACCTTAGTTCAACGCACATGTTCTTTATCATCTTTCAGTGCGTTTCTAACTCCTTCTAGAGCCATATCTATGGGTATATTTGTGTAAAGGCTAGTTATGTCAAAACTAACCATTTTTCAACTGTCGTCTAAGTGTATGTCGTCTAATCTATGCCTTAAGTCAGAAGAGTTGGTAAGTCGAGACTTTGAGTGATTTATTATTCGGCCTAACACCACTGCTAAATATTTAGACAACTCGTAAGTTGGAGTGTTTCTAAAATCTACTATAGGCCTGATGGGAAAACCTGGCTTATGAATCTTAATAGTACCATACGTTCTACTGGGATTATTAGTTTTCGGCATTAAATTAAACCGCTTTGACTCACCAAGAAACGGCCTCATCCAGCGTATCAGATTCCCTGTCGATTCCTTGACCTTATTCATAATAGTATCCACGGTCTTCTTAATTTCCTCATATGGTCCTTTTTCTATATGCTCGTTCACTTTGTAGATGTAGTCAGATTTGTTCATTACAACTACTGAGCTTCCTTTATCCGATTTGGCAATTACTATATTGCTATCATCTTGAAGGTTCCTGAGAGCTTCTCTCTTTGACTTAGGTAAATCAGATTCCCTTCTGTCATTTCAGTGTCAGAGTACACTGTGCACTTACCTAATCTGCAATTGTCCTATCTATTGAACTTGACACTATTTCTGTTTTGGGAATGACATCTGGTTTCAACCCATTAACCGCTACATTGAAGTTAAGACCTTTCTCTTACACTTTCACTTCTGTTGAGCTTAGGACTCTACTTGAGAGATTAAAAACCCACTTTGACTTATCGATTATTGGTGATACCCTATTGTTAATTTCATTGCTGCTGACTGCGTGCTTTTCTTCCATAAGTTTGTTGAACTTCTTAATCTGAGTGTTTTTGGATTTCTTGAATGCAGCTGATCTTGCTTTATTGAAATTGTCCATCAGAAGCTCATAATCTTTTTTACTAACTGTTTGTATCAGCTTACACTTAAGATATTCAATATAATTCCTGATGTTGTGCAACTTTTTTACCATTCTAGGAATTTCTTCTTTAAGACAGAGTTTAATGACACGTTCTATAGCTGTTTTGACTTCGTCTTAGAATCATCTTGGAATCGGTGCACGTAGACGTAGATATTTAGGAGTGATTTGATTTCTGAGAAATCGAATATTGACTGTACGATGGTTTGTGTACCTGCCTTTTGTTTGCCACTCAAAGTCTCGAATTACCAACTTTTATGACTTAAAGCAAAGATTAAACGACATACACTTAGACAACAGTGAACAAATGGTTACTTTTGATGTAACTAGCGAATAATAACCTGCTAGATTAAGGATCTGAGAATATTTTGGTTCATTTTCAACACAACCCAAATGTTTGCACTTTAAAAGCAATAAACATTATTATTATTATTATTCTTTGTCCCTTGGGTGGCTATTGGAATATAGAGCTTCAGTAACACGCCACCATTGCACTCTCTTCTCTACAGTCTTTTCAACCTGGCTCCACCACTACCCACAAGCGTTCATTTCTTCCTCACACAATCTCCTCCATATCACCCTCACCTGGAACACCCAACTCGTCGTTTCCCACTTGGATCACACTCGACGGCCTGGCCTGACGCGCCATATCGCCAATCGGTCTTTTCAGTGTATGCCCAATCCATCTCCACTCTCATCTTCCACATATATGTTGAGTAATAGGTTGTTGGTTGGTTCCTTGCCAACCATCCAGCCAGCCAGTCAGTCAGTCGGCCAGAATTCCTCCTTGTTTATTCCTATTATTCTTGTTTTTATGGCCATCTGATCTGATCTGATCTGATCTTCAGTATCGAGTGAGTGAGTGTAGGCCTCAGCTGTAGATGAATGTCTGTAGTTAGTTGGAAATGCTTTTCGTGACACGCCAAATCTCTCAACCATCAGATAGAAGCACTGACTCGACTGGATTGGTGTTGGAGATCCGGATGTTGTTCACGCTTTATACTGAGTGGAGTGGATCTCCACACTGAAGGGAGGCCTGTCTTGCTTTTATTCTGATCCTGGCTTTGACGTTCTCATCTTTGTCTGTGCCGCCTGTAGTTGAAACGATGCTGTCTTGTCTAGGTAGGTAGGTGAAAGAGACTACTCCCTTAGGTTTCTCCTGTTGATGGTGATTGATGCTTGTTGCTGATGTTGTTGTTGGTTGAATATCATCATCATCATCATCATCATCATCATCATCATCATCATCATCATCATCATCATCATCATCATCATCATCATCATCATCATCATCATCATCATCATCATCATCATCATCATCATCATCATCATCATCACTCGAATTCTCATCTTCGCTGCCTCACCTCACCTCACCTCTTCTGTCAACTTGTTGGTTATCGCCTATACATCTTCGAGTTTGTGTGACAAGACATTATGCATAAATCATCACCGTTGGCGAAATCCAAATCTTCTGGGATCTTTTAATCGGTCCTGCCAGCGTATTCCCATCTTCTCGCTCCACACAGTTTGTTGCATGATCCAGTCCAGTCCAGTCTAGTTGGCCACAATCAGGAAGATCATCGGTGACAATTGGCGACAATCTTGTTCTACTCCTGTCTCCACTTCAAACGCATCACTGAGCTTCCCA